CTCGGAAGGCAGAGGCAGGTGGATCTCTGAGTTTGAGGCCAGCCTGGTCTACAGAGCTAGTTCTAGGACAGATCTTTGTGAGTTTAAAGCCAGCCTGGTCTACAAAAGGAATCTAGGACAGCCAGAGCTACACAGAGAAACCCTATCTGGAAAAAAACAAAAAAAACAAAACAAAACAAAAAAAAAAAAAACAAAGCAAAACAAAACTAACCAACAAACAACAAAACAAAAAATGTTCTTGTGAAAAGACCTGAAGGCCCATAAAGAACTGCTTCTTATCTTACAAGCAGTAGCCTTCCACAAGGCCCCACAGTCTAAGTAAGTGCTAATCGTTGTGGAAATGCCATGTACTGCTTACTAACCTTTGAAAAACTCGAGGCACAAGTGTGAGCTCTCTGAGAAGGATGCTGGCTGCCAGACATGGTGCTGCTGTGCTCCCCTTCCAAGCAGGACCAATATGCCTGGGTTTCTCCTGGGAGCGGGGGTGGGGGGGAATGTCTGTGTGGTCCAGGTGCATGGTCCGGAGCCATCGTCCTTAGCCTGCACTGCTGAGCTAGTCACAGCAGCCAGGGGCAAACAGCCCATAACTGTCTAAAGAGGAGGAGCTGATGCAGCCATAATCAAGAATGAAAGATGTCAAGAAAGACAAATATTGCCAGGCATGGTGGAGTGCACACATACAATCCCAGCACTCGGGAGGCAGAGGCAGGCGGATCTCTGAGTTTGAGGCCAGCCTGGTCTACAGAGCGAGTTCTAGGGTAGCCAGGGCTACACAGAGAAACTTTTTTTTTTTGAAGCAGGGTCTCCTGTACCTAGTCTAGCCTAGACTCACTTTGTAGCCAAGGGTGACTTCAAAAGTCCTGACCCACCTGTCTCTGCTTCGCACAGGCTAGGTTCGCAGGGTGTGCCGGCATACCTAGCGTACATGGTCCTTGGGTGCAAACACAGGTCGGTGCCTGTCAGGCAGGTCCTCCGCCACCTGAGCTCACCTGTCAGAAGATTCAGCGAGGAACAGCTGGGATAGAGGGAATTTGCATAATCCATCGAGTTCCTCAAGTCATTCCTAGATTCCCTCCTTGGATCACACTCAGCATCCTTTTGTGTGTTTGAAACACAGACTCAGTATTAGCTCAGGCTGGTCTGGAACTTAACTGTCCCCCACCTCAGCCTCCGGAATGCTGTGCATCACTAGACAACACCGTTATCCTTTTCAAAATTACACTTACTTTGAAAAATTATTCTTCATCTCTGTGTATTTGTCTGGGGGGGGGCCTCGAATGTGCGTGTGTGTAGCACAGTTTTGTGAATGTGAAGGGCAGAGGGCAGTTTTGGGGAGTGGGTTCTCTCCCTCTACCAGGCGGACCCAGAGACTGAACTCCCGTCTTGGAGCTTGGGGGTGGGGGTGACCTCAGATAACAGGATTTCAAACTCAAACAGGCTGTGGCGCTGCATGCCCGTAATCCCAGCACAAGGGAGGTGTAAGCAGGAAGCTCAAGACTTCCAGGCCGTCCTTGGCTACAGGGAGCCTGAAGCCAGCTGGGGCTACATGAAACCCAAGGGAAACAGAAATTCAAACATCAACAGACCTATGAGGGAGGGGTTTTGTTTTGCTTTGTTTTGTGTTTTTGGCACAGACACATACTGTGACTGAAGCTGCCCCACGTGAATCCTAACTCGCTGCATAAAGGAAAGTCCTGGCGTCATCATTCAATTGTCCTGAGCCTTGACATTAAGGGTCATTTCAAAAATGCTTTTTATGATTAGGAAAGCCTGAGTCATTCTCCAGCTTCCTCTATTGGATTTCTGCATCACTTCCTCTTCTATTGACCCAAAGGAACAGAAATGCCCATGATGGGTGTGGCAGAACAGCCTGCAGGCCCAGGTAGAGCTGGAGGTGGGGGAAGGACTTGAACCCAGGAGGTTGAGGTCTGCCTGGACGGCACAGTGAGAGCAGGGAAGGGACCGGGAAAGGAAGGGGAGGAGAGGAGAGGAGAAGGCAGATGTGCAGCTACTGCTGGCCCCAGGCCGGTCGCCTGTCATGCAGTCCAGGCTTAATTCCCCAAGCCCCAGTTGGGAAGTGCCAGGTGCACCTCAGGTGGCTGGTGGAGGACTTTCCTAGCACACAGAAAGCCCTAGAACCAGCCTCCTGCACCAGCCAAGCCCTTGGGAGGCGTTGGTACGTGATTATAGTCTCTGCACTCAGGTGGGCCAGCTGAACTCAGAAGTTTAGCTACACAGTGAATTCTAAGCCAGCCTGAACTATCGAGACCCTGCCTCGGATAAGATAAAGAGAGAGAGAAAAGGAATATCCAAAAGTAGAGGTTTTGAGAACTTAGGAACTAGTGGGGCATCAGAGTCCAGCGAGTTCCGCGCAGTCACTATGAGTGATGTAAACAGGGTTGAGAAACGCACAGCCTGTTGCGTAGCTTCTCCGAAACCCAGGTCCTCTCCACTGGGACAGCTGAGTCTGGAAGATTTTTATTATTTGTTTGTTTATTTTGGTTTTCTGAGACAGCATTTCTCTGTGTAGCCCTGGCTGTCCTGGATAGCCACTCTGTAGACCAGGCTGGCCTCAAACTCACAGAGATCCACCTGACTCTGCCTCCCAAGTGCTGGGCTCAAAGGTGTGTGCTATCATGCCCAGATCTGATTTTTTTTTTTTTTCTCTGTGTAGCCTTGGCTGTCCTGGACTCACTTTGTAGACAAGGCTAGCCTTGAACTCACAGTGATGCACCTGCCTCTGCCTCCCTGAGTGTTAGGATTGCAGGTGTGCTGATTTTTATTATTTGCATCATGTATATTTATGTGTGTCAGTGTTGAGGTATTTGAATGTGAGTGCAGGTGCCCTTGGTGGCCAGGAGAGGACATTGGATCCTATGAGCTTGAGTTGCCAGTGGTTGGGAGAAGCAGACTGGGAACCACACTCAAGCGTTGTGGAAAGAACAGGAAGCACTCCTAACCACTGAGTTCCTGCCCGTCCCTGGACTGGCTGATTTTTGACAAGGTCTTGGTATTTAGCCTGGCCTTGCAGCAGGCTCCCTTGCCTCGGCCTCTGGGTGCTAAGATCAGAGGTTCTGCCTCTGTACTCCAACTCTGAATGAGTTAATTCAAGGCAAAGGTTGACCCCGAATAAATATTTTTTGTGGTGGGAACTGACTCCAGAGATTCCTCACTTGACCACAAGCTCACCCAAGGCTCCAGGGTAGACTCCTTTTATTAGAAGCAAACTACAGGGGACTAGAGGAGATGGCTCAGTGGTTAAGAGCACTGACTGCTCCTCCAGGTCTGGGTTCAATTCCCAGCACCCACATGGCAGCTCACAACTGTCTATAACTTCAAGATCTGACATCCACAGCCGTACATGCAGGCAAAACGCCAATGCAGCAATGTGAGGTGCTCTCTCTTTATCTCTCTCTAAGAAACCCCATACACCAGCACCTTTATTAGCTCAGCTGGGGTTGGTTTTGGGTTTTCTGAGCAACTTAACAAGGGCTCACACCTGTAACCCAACCCCAGTTTGAGGTTAACCTGGTCTACACAGTAGAAGCCAGGACAGGAGAAGAACCTGTCTCAAGGAAAGGAGGAAAACGCTAAAACATGGCCAAATGCCCCCTGGTTTCCTGGTGGAAACTGACTGGGACAGAGAGCCTAGCCTTAGCCCTTCCCACCCTCAGGGGCTACCACCGCACGAGTCGGGACCTCCCTGGGCTGCAGGGATGGCTTCCTGGTTAAGAGCACTGATTGTTCCACTAGAGCAGCACACATGGCACCTCATGTCTGTGACTCCTGTGACTCCAGTCCCAGGGGACCTGGTGCCCTTTTCTTGCTGCTGAACCACAGGCTTCCAGATATACATCTAGACAAAACACCCTTACACACACAAACACATACACACACACACAATGGGAGTCTCCCCTTTTTCTCTCCTCAGGGGGTGGCCTCGAAAGTGGCACCTGGGGTGAAAATGGGAAGCCACAGCCTCTGCCCTTCCTCTTGCTCTTGAAGGGGATCCCCCAACTGGATAAAAGTTTACATAACTGGTAAAAATAACACAAAATATTTGCAAAACTTACTTTACCTTTGAGTGCTATAACTCAAGTTTGGGACCTTGAGCCATTTCTGGGCTGCGGTACAGAGGTCATAGGTCAGCAAACAGTGATTCCCTAAGTCTGGAGCCAGCCTGTGATCCTAGCATTGAGGACACTGAAGAAGGGGAGTCAAGAGTTCAAGGATAGATCGGACTATTTGAGATGACATCTCCTCTCTTCCACCCCCCAAAAAAAGACAAAGAATGAAGTAGTAGCCTCTTGAGGCCTTGGGTTTGATCCTCAGAACCAGCAAATTAAAAACAAAGCCTTGGGGCTGGGGACTTAGCTCAGTGGTAGAGCGCTTGTGTAGCAAGCCCAAGGGCCCAGGTTCAGTCCTCAGCTCTGGAAAAAAATAAAATAAAAACAAAGTCTTAGCCAGACCTGTTGGTGCACTCTGGGAGGCAGAGGCAGGCAGATCTTTGTGAGTTTGAGGCCAGCCTGGTCTATAAAGTGAGTCCAGGACAGCCAAGGCTACACAAAGAAACCCTGTCTCAAAACAAACAAACAAAAAACAAAAACCAAACAAAAAAAACCCTTTCTTGCCAGGAGGTGGTTGCATACACGTTTAGTCCCAGAATTCAGGGAGCAGAGGCAGGCGGATCTGTGAGCTCCTAGCCAGCCTTGTCTACAGAGCAAGTTTTAGGGCAGCCAAGGCTACACAGACAAGCCCTGTCTCAACAAAACAACAAACAAACAAACAAACACCCATTTCTTATCATGAGAGGGAGCACGACTAGAGCAGGGTACTGCCTTTGATTGGGAGATTTATGCAGAGATATAAATTTTTTCTCTTTAAGATGATGGGCCACTATGTGCAGCCACTATGTCGTTGAGATAGGATGAGGTCTAACTGCGTAGCCCTGGCTAGCATCTAGCCTCACACTCACAAAGATGCACCTGCCCCTGTTCTAGGATTGAAGGTGTGCACCACCACTCGGGGCTCCTGCAAGGTACGGTTCTTCGTTTTTTTTGGGGGTTTTGTTTTGTTTTTCCAGACTGGGTGTCTCTGTGTAGCCCTGGCTGTCCTGGAACTCACTCTGTAGACCACAGCTGGCCTGGAAATCTGCCTGCCTCTGCCTCCCACGTGCTGGGATTAAAGGTGTGAGCTGGGCTCCTGCAAGGCCTGTTAATAAAGGTCTGGCCTGAGGGTTAAGAGAGGACGAGCGCTGCCAGAAGGTGAGGCACACGGGGGCAAACACCTGTGTTTTCTGCACGGGTCCCCCTGACTCAGGGGAACACTTACTTCCCTAGCCTACACTTACTGGCCACACTTAAGCAATTCAGGATGTGCAGTCACAGAAAGACAAGAAGCAAATGGTTGCTATAGAGATGTGTCTAAATACACACTGACAGGCAGTTTTTGCTTTTTGCTTGGAATTAGTCCCCTGCCCCATCCTGATTTGCTGTCTTTCTGTATCTTCTCTTGTCATATCTTTTATATTTGCACTCCTACTTCCTTAGGCTGGTTCCTAGCTCACAGGCACTCCTCTGAACTGCCTCTTTTCCCTCGAGAGGTCTCAGTTTAAACTGAGTTCCTAGGGGGTTGGGAGAGGGAGATGAGCAACAGCAAGGTATAATGACAGAAATGTATGGAAATAATGAAATCCATTACTTTATCCGCTATTAAAAAGAACATGTGGAAGCTGGGGGGGGGGGGTGCATGCCTTTAATCTCACCTTCAGGAGGCAGAGGCAATCAGATCTCTGTGAGTTCAAAGCCAGCCTGCTCTACAGAGGGAGTTCCAGGACAGCCAAGGCTACACAGGGAAACCCTGTCTTGAAAACCCCCCCTAAAAAACAAGCTTAAACAAACAAACAAAAAACACCAAACATTAATTAACTGGACATGGTGGCTTATCCCTACAATCCCAGTCCTGAGAGGCAAGAGGATCATAGATTTAAGGCCCAGGCAGCAAGATCTCTCAGCAGGCAGAGGCGCACATGGTGGACGGAGAGCTGGCTCCCAGAAGTGCCCTCCGAGCACTCACACCCAGTGCTCACTCGCTGCACACAAATGAAGATGGCATCGTTCCTTACAGAGTGGATTTGAGACTAGCTTGGGCTACATCCTATCCTGTCTGGAAAAAAGAAGTCGTAAAAATTGTACCTGCCTGTCTGTGGAGGAGGATGAAGGGAGCCACGTTCTTTCAGGTTTGGGCTTTTGCACTGTGCAAACCCCGTTCCCGAGGCTGGCTGTGCGGCACCCCACGCTGCTGCTGTTACTGCGGGGTTTGTGTGCCGCCTATGGAAGTTTTTGGAAAATAAAATACATTTTTTTATATTTCCTTTCTTTGGCGGGGTGGTGGAGATGTTTGCAGTTGTTTAACAGGGCCTTGTATCAGCCAAGCTGGCCACAAACTGGATGAGCTCGGGCTCTGAGCTTTGTGCCTCCATCTTGCCGGTCCTGGGATTTCACTCATTCTCCACATCCGGGCAAACCCCGGCTTCCTGGATGCTGGGTGAGCACTCTACCACATGAGCAGCACCCCCCAGCCCAACCCTTGTATTTCACAATCTCAGAGGACTCATAATCCCACCCCAAAAGGAGGCAAGAGTCTGTCTTCTTCAATCTCATGACTAGTCTGCGGCTTGGCCTGTAATTCGTGACTGAAAGCATGTGGACACCAGAGGAAGGAACAGGGAAGGACAGGAGTAGGCTTGACTGGGGGTTGGGAGGGCTGTTGTTCACCTCGGGCCAGCAGGATGGCTCAGCAGGTAAAAGCTTTGCTGCCAAACGCGACACCCGACAACCTGAGTTTGAGCCTGCGGACCCACACGGTAGAAATGGAGGATCAACACCCATAAGTTGTTTTCTGTGTACCGCCCCCATACAACATACAGACATATACACAGTACATACATACATACACACGTAACTGTAACAAGCTTTTTAAATTAAACTAGCTGTCCCAGCCATGATATAGACATACAGATATGAATTCCAATGGGAAACACAAACAGCCACAAAGTGGCCTTTTCATTTGTTTGTTGTTGGTCCTGTCTCCAGGCCTCCTCCCCTGAGATAGCGTTTCCCTGTGTGGCTCTGGCTGTCCTGGAACTCACTCTGTAGACCAGGCTGGGAGCTGTTTGTCCTGGCACCCTGCGAGGGTCAGAGAACACCCTGAGGGACTTGGTTCTGTCCTTGCCCCATGGGTCCCTGGATCAAACTCAGATCATCCAGCCTGTTGGCAGGCAAGCCCTGAGCCATCTTCCAGTTTTTCCCCTTCCACCACTCACTCATTAGAGCTTCCTGTCATTTCTCTCTTTGATTTTTTTTTTTTTTAATTTTATGTGCACTGGTTTGAGGGTGTCAGACCACCTTGAACTGGAGTTACAGTTATGCGGGTGCTGGGAGTTGAACCTAGGTCCTTTGGAATAAGAGCCAGAGCTCTTAACCACTGAGCCATCTCTCCAGCCCCTCTCTTTTTGATTTTGTTTTTAACTTGATTGGTGATTTTGGTGTTTGAGACAGGACCTCATGTGGCCCAGGCTGGCCTCAGAGTCATTCATTATGTAACAGTAACAGAGGGTGACCTTGGACTCCTGAGCCTGTCAATCAAGGGCTGGGAGTACAGGCCTAGGGAACCGCTCCCAGCTCCAGCATTTGTTTTGTTTTGTTTTGTTTCTGAGAGACAGACTCTGTGTAGCTTAGGCTGGCTTCGGGCTTAGCCTCCCACCTTCAGAACGATGGCCTTTCAGGGGTGCACCGCCACAGCCATCCGGAACATTCTTACTCGACTACTGTATTGCAGTAGGTTCCTCATTCGCTCCTTCGCCTCCAGGCCCTCCTGTGGGTTCATCCGAACCCCAGTTAGAGTAGTGAAACTGAATTAGAGCTCACATCATGGTGTTTAGTGTCATGTTTCCCAACTGCTTATAAGAGTCCAAATCAATAGGAGGCCTTGGAGACAGAAGCAGGAGAATTCATTAGCTCAAGGCTATCCTCAGCTACACAGCATGTTCAAGGCCAGCCTAGGCTACAAGTCACATTGTCTCAAAAAACTTTTAAGAGGGGGCTGGCAAGATGGCTCAGTGGTTAGGCTAGCACACTGCTTTTCCAGAGGACCCAAGTTCAGTTCCCAGCACTTAAGTTAGGTGGCTCACAAACCTCTAGCTTCTGAATGCACCTGTACCCATCCATAATTAAATATATTTGTTTAAAAGTTCAGGCTATACTTCCAAAATTCGGCAGGCTGCAGCAGGAAGGTGGCCTCCAACTGGTGGCCAATCTGGGTAAAACTCTCTCTTCCATAAAACTTTCCTTCACGTCACCTAGGCCAGAAAAATTTCTCTCAGTTCCAACATTTAAGTTGTTGAAGCCTCCTGTGTACCCCATCCCATATTGAGGCCGCTCGTTCACGATGAAAAGTTCTTTACAGAAGTATTTCTCAGTCACTGCACCCGAAAAGTGCTTCTCTGCATCCTCCCTGCCACATCCTGTAACACTGGGATTCTGGATCCTGCCTACGAAGTTTTATGGTTCCGTCTCCTTGTTTACCTGAGATTCAATATTTATGTATTTAAGCCAGGCAGTGGTGGTGAAGGCCTTTAAACCTAGCACTTGGGAGCCAGAGGCAGGCAGATCTGCCCTACAAAGGGAGTTCCGGGACAGCCAAGACTACATAGAGACGCCTTGCCTCAAAAAACTGGGGTGTGTGTGTTATGGATTCAATCATGTGTGCAGTGGTCAGAGACAACTTTCAGGAACTGCTTCTCTCCTTCCACCATGTAGGTTGCAGGGACCCTCAGGTCTGGCAGCAGCTGTACTCACTGGCCAGTCCTCTCCCCACTCCTTGTTTTGTTTTTGTGCCTCCCAAGTTGTTGAATTACAGGTGTTGCAGCCACTTTACAGGTTTTATGCTAGGCAAGCACTCTATCAACTAAGCCACCGTCCCAGCCTGGGACCTTTATCTGATCATTCATTTTGTTTGTTTGCTTGAGACAGAGTCTCACCATGTAAACCACGTAACTCCGGCTGTCTTGGAGCTTCCTATGTAGACCAGGTGTCAGAGTGAGGATCTCTGTTGCTATGGAAACACCACGACCAAAGCAACTTGGGGAAGAAAAGGTTTATTTGGCTTCTGGCTGCTTTCAAGTAACTTTATCACTGAAAGTCATCAGGACAGGAACTCTAGCAGGGCAGGAACCTAGAGGCAGGAGCTGATTAGGGACTCGTTCGGCCTCCTTGTAGACCACCAGCCTAAGGATGGCACCACCCACAATGGGCTGAGCCCTCCTTCATCAACCACTGACTAAGAAAATGCCTTACAGTTGGACCTCATTGAAGGCATTTTCTTGTGTCAAGTTGACATAAGTCTAGCCAGCACACCAGGCTAGCCTCAGAGATGTCCACCGTTTTATGGGGCGCTGGGAATCAGCTCCGGCCTTCCACAGGGGGTAGGCAAGCTCTCTACCAACCGAGCGACACCCTTAACCTTATTATTTTCAGACTGAAGGCTCATTGCGTAGCCAAGATGATCATTAACACCTGAGTCTCCTGCCTCTGCCTCCCCAGGGCTGGCAAGCTCTCCACCAACTGAGTACAGGCCGCCGCGGATGATTCATTTTTAGACGTTATTAGTGTGTGTGGGCGAGGGGCTGGACTCTTGCGGAAGCCAGAGGACAGCTCTGTGACATCAGCTTGCTCCTTCCACCTTTGGTTGGGTACCTGGTATGGAATTCAGGTTCTCAGGCTTGGGATTCTGCGGCAGGAGTCTCTCACCGGCTGAACCTTTTCACATAATAACTCACGCCCACGAAGCGTCCTCATTTTGGGACACTGGGGATCATAGCAGAAAAACAACAGAGAGGCAGGAGCGCTGTCACACGCCTAGTACTCCGATCGGAGTACTAGGGAGGCAAAGGCAGGAAGCTCTCTGTGAGTTCAAGGCCATCTGGTCTACATAGTGAGTTTTAGGAGACAGCCAAGGCTGTTACCTGGAGAAACCCTGTCTTGAAAACAGAGGCAGAAGGATCTTCGCGTTCCAGGACAGCCAGGGCTACACAGAGAAACCCTGTCTCGAACAGTCAAAACAAAAAGGTAGGACAAGCCCGTCGTGTCAGCACTGCCTAACGTTCGGGCCAGCCTGGGCTACGCAGGGAGTTCCAGGACAGCCTGGAACTCAAAACTCGGCACAAAGCGGCAGGCCCTGCTTCCATGGAAGCCGAGCGCTTGGCCAGCGGCGCCCGCAGCGCGCCGGACGCAGAACCCGCGGGCCGAGCGCAGGCTGCCAAGCGCCGCGCGCCCTAGTCGTTAGGAAGGCCGCGCGAGCGCCGGGCCGGAAGAGCCTCGGCCGCCCCGCCCAGCTCTCCGGAAACTCCGCCCCCTTCCCCTTTACGGGAAGCGCCCGGCCGCGTCAGAGCGGCGAGGCGGCGGCTCCGGGGGACTGCCCAGCCCGCTCCGCACTCTCGGCCGCCT